CATTACTTATGAACAGAGGTTGGTAACTTTGACATTTTCTTCCTCTCCCCCCCCCTCCTCCTTTCTCTCCTCCTCCTCCTCCTCCTTTTCCTCCTTCTCCTGGGACGATGAAAGAACTGCGTATCCTGCGATCGTGTTTTCCGAGCCGGTCGAAAAACAGCGCGGTTACATTCGTTTCGCAGTTTCGGGTTTCACGTAGCCCGGGCTAATTCGTTCGCGCGGCGTGCGCCGACTATTTTTATGATTGATCACCCGTGACGGACGAGAAAAATACTGCGCCCCGGGACAAACATAGTTATGCTAGCATCTGCAGTTGAGCAAGTAACAATTTGATACACCGGCGGTTTTTGCGCACTCATGGCGCAACGGGGTCGAACTTCCACGGGATGGACGAGGTGACGCGTGGAGGGGCGGAGGGGAGGAGAGTAGGCAGTCTCATATAAATTTAATCCGAAGACATTGCAATTTGACGGTCGGGCGAGCAGGACTTTGGCGTCGTATACATTTTTTACCATGGTCTTCTCGCTTCCTCATAAATCTAATGTCGCTCGCGCGCGCGCATTGAAATTAGCTTTCGCGCGGGAAAGCGCGCGCGCCGTTAAATCCATCGCGGAAACAAGTGCCAGGTTGGCGAGTGGCAAAAAATGCGAAACGCAAATTAGTTGGTGCCCCTCGAAACGTTGGTCATCGACAGTAAGTAAAAATAGCTTCGAAACTAATGAGAGACTCCGCGGCGCCTCGGGCAACGATTTATACTTCGGTTCGCGCATAACGACGGACTTATATAAATGCATGAAAACATGTGGGCAGCGGTACGTGTGCACGGATATATCTATATATATATGCGCCTACCGTATATCCGGCGATGCAAATAGTTAAATCAACCTCCGCGCTGGATTTTACAGAACAGCGTGCAGCTTTGATCCCGTCTACTTCTCCGCGTTTATTCCTGTCGGAGGAGATATAACCTGGCTGGACTGTTTATGTGCGTGCATGATATTTGCCCGTCGGTGTGTGTTAGAGCGCCGCGATAGCCTGGGATAAACACGGAGGCCAGAATCAAGCGCGGCGCTCTACCCTGTAGAAAACTAGCGACTGTAGTACGTATTAAAGACACGCATCCCGTGTGACGCACACGGCCTGCCGGTGCTCTTCAATAAAAATGCTAATAATAGCGATAATGCAGACCGATAAGCGACGAGTTTCCGTTTGTCTCCAGCTTTTTTCCGTCTTTTTCTTCGATTTTTTTTTCCGATAAAATAAAAAGCACCGATCTATTTCAGTTATCTTTATTCGGAAATATCGCATTCACCGTGTTTGACAGATGCAAGATATAAACAGATGCATTGGAAAATAAATGCATTGGAGGATCGATTGCACAGTTTAAGACGCGAGATCGATGGCTGGTTTCATCGACGTCAACGAGAATCTCAATTTTAATTTTATTATTCATTTCTTCGCCGTTCTGAATCCAGAGAGAGAATCAGACTAAATTAGATTAAAGTTAAGGTGTAAACTGACACACGAAACCGGCTATAAAGGATCTGACCGTGACGTACGTTTGAGATAAGATGAGGTGTAACATAACTGAACTGCGCTTTGTTAAGAAGTCTGATGAACAGAGGAGACGTTTGTGTGTGTGTGTGTTGCGCGTAGCAGCACAATCGTAAGTTAAGGCCGAGTAACAACGAGTAATCGTACGTGAGAATCGCTTTAACTGCGTACGCCGCGCGAGAGAGGCGACGGGCTAGCCCGACGCTGGTGTTGTTGCTCCCATTCGTAGATGCACAATACAATTAGAGAATAGAGAATTAGTTTGTAGAAGCTCAGAGAGAGAGAGAGAGAGAGAGAGAGAGAGAGAGAGAGAGAGAGAGAGAGAGAGAGAGAGAGAGAGAGAGAGAGTAGTAGTAGTAGTAGTAGTAGTAGAGAGAGAGAGAGAGAGAGAGAGAGAGAGAGAGAGAGAGAGAGAGAGAAAGAGAGAGAGAGAGGTAAGTTACGTGTGTTCATATGTTACTCGGGCAATTGCTCGTTTTAAAGAGGATCTGCAAAGAGAGAGAAAGAGACCTGGACTGGAAGCGAGACACGTGTCTCCGAGGAGCGGGAAAAGCGGGGAAATATTTGCAGGGCAAATTAATCGCCAGGAGGAAACGTTCGCCGCACGATCGATGCGGCCGACGGTAATCGGCTTCGTTTTCGCTTTTAAGCAATCTCTTTCTTTTTCCAGCCGCGTCCACATGCGTTCCGTTCTTCGGTTACGGAATGTTGATGTTAATGAGGATTCCAGTTCGTTCTCAGCAATCGCGGCTAAAAAATACGCGCGAATCTATTCCAGATCAAATAATCCGCCGTCGATGCACCTATATTGATTGGTGTAATTCGACTCGATAGTAACACGTTTACACGTCGTCGCATCGAAAAATCTCGCTTCGCCGTTATCGATCACGCCTCGCCGACCGAGATAGCGGCACTCGGCATTTCGAGTTTACCCAATTTCGTTATCGCGGGTAATGAGTCTCCGCCGGCGCGGTTTTATCCGTGTCCCTCGCGCGCGCCGAACTTCCGGAACTCAGCGGAATTTTTTCGCGAGAAATAGGAGCGCAAACGAGATATCTGCCGCCGCCGCCGCTGCCGACGACGAGAACGACGCGAAAGTGGGCGTAAGGCGGCGCCGGGAACGGGATGGTGAAAATCTCCGAGTGATTTATACGCGGCGAGTCGGTGTCATCTAACTTTTAAATTAAGATTCCCTGCACTTTTCCGCGACGCGCGCTCAACTCCACGGTCCTTTGCCATACGTACAGCGTACTCGCTGTAACGACGTCTGCCACTGCTCGCGCGTCCCAGGGCGCGCCTGCTATTTATTGCCCGCGCGAACCTCGCCGTGTAGAAAATGCCACGTTCGCGTCGTCAGGTACCTGCGGACGCGTGACTATTCCGCCTACTTTAAACGCGCGCTTAAACGCCCATCGACAGTCGCTCAAAGCTCCTCATTTTGCGTTACGTACGGCAGCGCGGACGACGTCCTTTATGCAGGGCGTTACTTTGTCACGAGACGCAAAGTCCCTCCTGTTACTTCATTTCGTGCCGGTTTTTTGCAAAAAATCGTGCCTCCTCGCGCATTCACAAATTCGCACGTACGACGAACGATGAATAGGAATTAAATTTAAGTTTTTTTTCAGACACCGAGATCATATCTCGATTTACAGTACAATTTTTTTTTGTAGCTAAATGAATTCCATTGTTACGCGCCTTCGATCGCCGATGGAGCGGCTTTACAACGGCGTCACTGCTGCTTTTATTCTCTCGTTATGCTGTAATGTCGAGGTCGCACTGACTCATGGATATCAAATGCATACTGCCGCGTAGAACGCGGATATATAGGTGTCATCGAATGATATAAGGGTGCTCTCTCGTGGCGATCGTATAACCAATTTGTTAGTTTTACGAGCCACGAATCTTTATCGCGTTCGTTGCCGGTATACGTATCTGAAATATACACACACATCGTTCGAGACCTTTTCCACCCCTCTTATATTTCTCTATACGCAAATATTCTCTCACACACGATGTTAATTGTTGAACCTTGTTAATCATGACGGAAATTAATTGTGCATTTTTTTCAGCGAAAGAATTATCTGCGAATAACAACTTACGCAACACCGTCTGACGTCGGTGAAAGAATCGCGATGCTTTTGCAGTACGGTTGTGAAATACCACACAGTAACCGTTAATTTTGAATTCAGACTCGCTGAATTCAAGTACGCTTTCACATTTTATTTTGTGCGATATTTTTAATCCACAAATGCCCAACGATTCAACTCGTATCTTCGTGCTCACTTTTCAGTTCTTTTCTTCTTTTTTTTTTTTTCAATCTACCTGCGTCCTCTTTGTGTTTGACCACTGAGCACTAAATTCTGCACAGATATTTCCGTATTCTCGATGCTAATTACACCGTATCGGCGCTGTAGTGCCAATTTCTTTCCGACGTAGGCATCGCAGCGGCCGAGCATCTCGCCGCGTATTATTTCGTGATTAGCAGTAAGTCAACGGTGTGTTGCAATGTGTAGTTTAAAGGGAGATCGACTTTTAGGGCAAAAGCCGCTGCCGCTAATGATGCCTTCCAGGAGCTCGCGGGAGAAGGCGGCAGACAGAATGAATCGGCAATTCCCCGCGGTACTTAATAATTTTATTACATAAAAATACAGAGCCAAAATATATATCATTTTTCGCTATATATTAATCGCTACACATATATCTATTGTATGTATACTTACATATACATATATAATATGTATATCTGTGCGTATGCGTGTGCATGTGTGTGTACGTATCTGCCGAATGGTCGTGCGTATCAAAGTAAATGATCGATAAGTTGTTTCTCTTCCCGGCTTACGTCCGCACTCTAGCGCGGTCGCATGGGTCGCGTTGCGCACCTCGCGTCGCGTTCCTCCACGTGGAATTTAATAACTTTTCGGTTTTCTTTTTTTTTAAGTTTTGCTCTGCTAATCCGAATAAATCTTTTGTTTTATATTTTTCAAATTAAATTTTATTGGGAGCATACCGTCCGTACTTAATTGTGTTTTGGGATTCTTTTCTATTATCTCCCTCTCGTACTTTTTTTTTTTTTTTTAGTGAAACCATCTTTCTGCGCCCTCGAGGCACGCCCACGTAGCGTTACCGCGAGAATAATGCGAGTACGCGGCGAAGCAAATTTTTCCTACGAGAAAATGCAATCTTGTCCCTTGTAGCGAAATAAGCTCGCACGTCGCGCGATGCGACCGTTCGGCAGAGTTGTAATAGATTTTATTTGTTCTACTTTGGACGGCTATGAATCGTGCACAGGTATATTTTTATCTACACACTTCACTCTCAGAATACCTACACGTACAAAACTCTCACAAATATTCCGCCTCTCGAAATTCTCCATTCGCTCGCTACATACATATTTGAATATCTGCATAGATCGTAGGTACTTCCCATTAATCGGGACGATAAAGCTGCAGTAGCAACATTACGTTTTTAACGGTTGGGGGACTGTGTTATGTGTTTCATTTTTCTTGTGTTAAAATTTCAACTGTAGCTATCTTTTTTGACATCTGTACAAATATCTGGATTTTTTTCTTTTTTTTTGAAACTTGCAAAAACGATAGATTGAGATAACAATATTGTTTGAAAAATATTGTTTATGTCTTGTAGAGAAGTATCGACGATTATTCGATGGCGCATGCTGGATATGATCGTACAGAAGCCAAACTAAATTTGTATCTTTTTTGTACACACTATAATTTCATGTTCTGTGTCTCGCCCAGTTTTGTGTAATGGACGAAAGTCCGTGTCCATCACTAAAATCCTGCTGTCCCAGGAAACAGAAAGCGTTCCAATGCAGAACTCTAGATGGACATCTCGCCAGACTGTAATTATTGCACGTACACGTACACACACAATCACACGAATCCCAGCACACTTACGCAATTATAGTCGTACCTAGCGTCTCTCGCCAGTTGTTTAGGCAGACTCAGACGTGCAGGTTCTACTTAAACGCTTCAAACATCGTCTATCGCACATATCTATCGCGGGCAAGCTTGCACCGCTGCCTTATCTCCGTTTTCGTTAGGTATGTCGCAACACACAAAAACGCACACATGAAGCTAATGCGCGCAGGCAGAGGCGGAGCAGGCAGGCGGACGCGAAACATCGCGGGAAGGTGTCACGATTCGAGATAAGAGTGAGATAATCCCTGATACGGTCCTATTTTCGGTACGCAGATCAACACGATCGCCGAGAAATGAAATACCGTATAAAATTGGAGTATAAAGAGCAGAGAGAAGATCCGAAGGATCTCGTTAAGAGGACGAGGCTTCTTAAAAAACGGAGAGAGAAGCGAGAGAGAGAAAAGTCATCGTCGCGAAATCACATAGTAGCTAGAATTAAGGGTTTAGACAATTAAAAATCCGTGTCTGTGCTCGTCGAAAGACCGTAGACAGAGACAAAGAGAAAGAAAGAGAGAAAAACGAAACGTTTTGGATCTACTGTAGGGAAGGGGTACTACCACCACGCGGGAGGTCCGAAATCGATGTCCAGTGGTGGGCGTAGGCACAACGGATCCCACAATGGGCACCACGGTGCGGACGCGAGCATGGCCATCGAGCATAACGGCCATCATCCACCGCGAGAGCCGCGAAAAGAAGAGAGCACTCTCGTCAGACGGAGCTTCCGAAGGTGCGGGGACGAGTGGCGCGCCGATAGTAGGAGGTGCGTTTCAAGAGACTGACGATTCTGCGCTGCTTTTTTTCTCACTTTCACACTGATTTTTGCGTGCGTGACGGAAACGCGGACTCAACTCGGGAAACGCGGGGCAAACGAAAATATTTATACAATCGAGACCGAAAGTGCGATTGCTGAAGTTCAATTTTACAAAAGCTTTCGATCTGTAACGCGGGCAGAGAACGCGATTATTGAGATTACTTATTAGGGCCACGTAATAAAAATATTATAGTAGCGACTGTCTTTTACTATTTTTTTTTAATTAAAAATTATGATAAATATTAAAGTTGAGTTCAATAGATATTATGTTACTTGTCTTATCGAAATTATGATTCAAACACGCGCTTCGTCTAATTATTTCCTGACGGATAAGCACGAATGACGAACTTTTATAATTGGATATTTTTCTCGTTACACTTTACGACATCGCGTTAATTAAAGTATCTAAACATATATTCGATGCTTTGATTTAAATGAGAGATGCAAGTAATAAATGTTTGATAAATTTGTGACGTCGTCTTTGGTCAGGAAACGTTAGCGACGTATTTATTTCCTTTTTTCTTACTGTAGATAAATCTTTACTTACTCGCGTATAATAATGACATATTGAAGAATAATTTGCCGAAATATTTTTTGCAATCAAAATTTTCTCGAGATTCATTGAATATTTCAGTTAAATATAACAAACATAATATTTAATTACTTACAATATATACGTTTTTGCAACTTTTATTTGCGAAAAAAATCGAATCTGGTTGAATCTGAATAGCTTTACGTTGGAAATAAATTCCTGATCAATGTGCGTTATCCGACGATATCAAATTCGCGAGCGGACGCGCGATGGTCCAGCGCGGCGGACCATATCTTGAGTTCGATCACTCGGGCCGCGAGATCGGCATCGCGACGGCGTAATAAGACAGATAACACACACGCACCAAACCACCCATCGTCCTCGTATCTCTGTGTATGTGGCGTGTCCATCAGGTTCACGGAGAGGAGGGGGAAAAAGACAGTGCGTTTTGATGGTGGGACCAATGTCGGCGGCTCTCAGGAGGAAGAATGGTCTTGGGAGGCCGATCGGCAGGGTAGCCAAGACAGCGCGACCAAAGACTCCGGGATAGACACTTCTAGCACGTTCACGAGCAGTGAAGACAGCAACAGGGGCGATCTGCCCAAGGTACGAGGCCGGGTTACGAGCAAGTAGTAACGTCAACCGGCTCGAAAAAAAAAACAAAAAAAAAAATAGAAAACGCTTCTCGAGTAGTAGCGAGTAGATCGGAGTCGATCTGTTAATGATGGAGTAGAAGGCAGGGCCTACACACGCGCGAGGATAGACAGTTTAGGAAACAAAAACGTAATGCGCCGGTGTGGATCGAGTAAAAGGGGTTTTCAGCAGCGCTATTTTTATTGCACGATCGCGCGCGACCGATGTCGTGAGCACATTAACACGGTACTTTTCCTCGGTAATGACCGCTCTCTTTCCGCGCGCGCTTATCTCCAGGCGCTAATCGCGGCGGATCCGAAGCTGGAACACGTCGTCCAAAGTGGAATACGGTTGTTTTCTTTCTCACTCCTCGCTTCAATAGCGTAGCGAAGAGGCGTTGGGGGGAGATGGCTTGCCAATTGATGTAATTAGCGTGCAGCTCTTGTAACTATAGTTACTCTTTCGGATTACAATGTGTGCCAGGAGAGCCGAAGTTTCAGGGCGGGAGAGTTGCGCAATTGATCGCTACTGAAGCTACTGATGCCGATTGATGTGCGAACTGAGAGAAAGAGAGAGCGAGAGAGAGAGAGAGAGAGAGAGAGAGAGAAAGAGAGAGAGAGAGAGAAATATATATATATATACACACGCCGTGTAATAAAATTATGCTTGAACGTTTTGGTTTTTTCTCCTATTTGTGCTAACAGAGAGAACCTCTTTTGCTCGATTAACCCCAAAACTTCGTGCTTAAAGGCTTGTGTGCTTGTGTGTTCGTTTTTTATCTCGAGGTTTATTTGTATGGTTTACGTATATCGGCTTCTTGTACTACACTTACAGCGTTGGTATAAAAGTTCAAGCTTATTTCAGAATCACAGAAACTGAACTCACGGAATATCATACACTTTTCGACTCTTAATTGCGCGTCTCAAATTATTAATGAGAATAATAGTCACTGATCTTTCGTAACAGATATTAAGGGATTTAGCAAAAAGCAAGATTACTCTGCTGCTGTCACGGTAATCCGTGAATTCAGAAGTTTGAAGTAGAAAATCGTCTTCTGTACTACAATTCTGTCTTGCGTCAGGCTTTTTTCGATCCATTCCATTGTGCCTCTCTTAACTAAAATCCACGATAATTTTCCTCGAGTTTTGCAGTGACGTAGATTTAATAGCGACGGGAAGAGAGATTTATGTACTTTTAAACAATGAATATCATTTCTGACGTTCATTTCTCTTTTACGCCACTCTCGAGTTAAAGTACGGTCGGCCGGTTAAGTTTTCGTATATTATATAATGTAAAACATATAAAAAGTTGCAGATAATCGATTCAACATTCGGCTTTTAAATCCCCCTGAGAATCAAATAGCATTCGGAATTATATAAAAATTATTTTTATTATTTTCATTCAAGTTTTCTCAATCAATTTGCGTTGCGATTTCGCGGAGATAAAATGTTCTGTGTAAAGAAATGTATTGACTTCATAAATAACAAAAGTCGATAAAAAGAAGCAATTACGGTTTGATTGTAGGTTATTGTTACTATTCTTCAGGTAAAAACGCCAATTAGGATGATTTTAGTGATTCCCATCTGAATCGAGCCCAAATTATGTAATTGGCTATGAATACTTTTATAAAAATGAAGATTATTTGATTTGATGTTTATATCGGACATAGCGAACAATTTGTAACTATTAATTGATATTCCCAATTGCGTTATTCGGCCGCCTTAATTGTAATGATATAACATTTTATTTCTTTATAATTTTACAAATAGAAAAAGAAAGATTTATCCTAGATTTCAGAAAAGCAAATTACCCAAAAATAATATAAGAATATTGCATAAGCGAGTTAAGTGATGAATAGGATTTTTCCGGAAAATATATATCACCGTGGCTCTAACAAATGCCGCATTTGTGCATTTTCGCTTAGAGTTCATGTTCGGATGAGCAATATTGTGTACACGGATCATCGTTCGATATACGAGAGAGATAGGTAACTGCAGGTCGCGGTCCAATTATACGAAGCAAATAACTAAGATTAAATTCTCCGAGTAAACGGCCGGCAATCGAGTAATTTATCTAGCGGCGACTTAGGTATCCCTTAAAGCAATACGATCGAGATCAATCTTTTTCACTCTTTATTTTCCAAACAGGTCACGTAACACCACTACGGTTTTACTCTTATTTTCGCGGGGGTAAAGTGGAAACTGATTGCGATGCGTGAAGGAGAAACAAGGAAACCAAGTGCCGTCAGGCGCGATACTTCTACTTCGACTTGGGCGAACAAAATCGGATAGGAAGGCACGGTGCTCGGCGATGCAGGAATTAATTCGCGCGATTGCGTCCGATCGATAATCACGTCGCGTCCCGACAGACGTAGCTCTCGCGCGGTAAAAGTGCATTTACGATGCTGACCCATTGTCAACTTGTGTATCCTACTAATCTAGAAAATTTTACGTGATTTCGCGAGGCATTGGCGAGTCCAAAACGATCCAATTAACGGACCAATGAAGGTTCTCGAGAGAAAAGCGTATCTGTTTCATAATTAATCGAGTTGGAATGCAGCCAAAGGGTATCGCAACCAACAAGACTTGACGACCTCGTTAGTTGTCGTCGATCAGTTTTCCGAGCAAAGGATTTTTTTTGTAATATCTTTTCGATTACGACGCCGAGCTGCTAGCCATTGTACAAATGTAAAAGGTCCGTACGTTTAATCGCGAGCGCGCGGAATGGCATAATTGCCATTTGACATTCAATCGTGCCAGCTCTGCGGTCGGAATATATCTAGTAGAATTCAGAGCTTTTTATGCGATTTACATTGCTATTACGACACAGTTAAAACATCGTTATTATAACGATGCGTAACTCCGTAATTACTCCAAACGTTTTCACTGGCGTAAAAGCAGAAATGGATTATAACATTCATGCCGCCGTGTGCGGCGGTTTATGCGCTTTTCATAGTGTGTGCATACGGTTGATCATATCAACCGATTCTTATTATCCGCAGTAATGTCTAAACGGATCAATGCGAAGACTATTGACGCTATTATTAAACTTGCTGTTGTATTAATGCCATTATCGAACTTGCCGCTGTGAAAGCAGTATAATTATATATGGATAGAAGTATTAATTAAAACTCGGTCTTACAAGACTTGGAGCTTTTTGTGAATCGCGCATAAATGATCGAACAACTGCGTTCGATAGGACGGAAACCGAAAAAAAAGAGGCGACCCCTCTCCCTAAAGTAGATCCACTTGGTGAATCGTGCCGTTCTCGAGATAGAGATACATCACGCTCAGGATTTTTACGCAATATTACGCATATATTGACGAGCACGCAGTGTTGTTTGCATGCCTATATATATTTATATATTTCTTTTTTCGAATTCGACAGAGACCTTCGGACACTGGATGTTCGACAGGTGCGGAATGTATAATGTCTTCTACTGTAATATTTGCTAATTGCGCATGTGTTGCATGAAGTAGTGGCTACTCTAATGTAAATTACAATACATGTTACAGCAGTGCGTACCGCTTGCTCTGTAAATGCCAACTGTTCTACGTCCAACTATTTCTCGATATGTCTAGAACGCTAGCTGTGTAGACAACCTTTTTCGTTTCGGCAGGGTACCGAAAGGCTTTGAGAAGAATTAAAACGTATATTTTTGAATTGAAAATAACTGACTTTGAATCATTAATTATACGATTGTGTTTCTGTTTCCAAATTAATTATAATACACTGTATCTTTGGCTTTTTCTGCTTTAATATATGATCTACCTGAATGTAACGGCATATTTTAAAGCCTTTTTCATACTCAAGTTTTTCGGTGATTCACCCTGCGCAAGAGAAATGTTTTGCCGCAAGACGTAATACGTCGAATGCAGATAGACGCGAAACGTTTCTCCGTAGAATTTATAAGCTAATGTGTATTACAATTGTTTTCTGTTAGTTGTGTATTTAATTGATAAATAGATCATTGATGGAAATACGCCAGAATACTGGAAACTATGATACGAATTTCACGAGAACGAAGAATGTGTAGAGAATTGAAATGAATTATTCTTACAACGCGACGGACTTTTACGGCTTATATGTCACTGGTTATTATTGCATAAAGTATCTTTTAGCCTTCCCCATCACTTAAGCACAATCAGAATTCCGGAATTAGAATTTGGGATCCAGAATTCGGACGTACGTTCTGTATCGCTTTTGATTTACAATGGCACACACACACATGTGACCCCCATTATCAATAAAAGAAATACTATCCGCGCTCCGTAGCATCCATTATCCTGGCAAGTGAGCGAGGACGGTCAGAAGATCATCGGCCACATGGTTTTACGAAAATCGGCTGGCTCCACAAGCTGTAGTAGTATACTCGGACTAAAAGTTGTCGGTGGCAAGCTACTGGAAGATGGTTCCATGGGTGCTCTGATCGAGAAGGTGAAAAAGGGTAGTACGGCGGACGTAGAAGGTCAACTTAGACCCGGTAAGAGGATTACAAAGTTCGAATTAAACTCGGAGAATTGTCAAAACGCACGGACGGCATTCGCGCGCGAATTCGCACAAAATGTAAAATTTCGATAATTCTAATTTGATACTTGAAAAAATTTAACTGCCCCGAATCGATTAACAGAAATGATAAAGTATCAAAAGCTTCTTCTATTTGTTGCAAATCTAAGAAAGATAAATGATGTATTTTCAATTAATATTAGTCTACAGCATTTTCCTTCTATCGTCGGTTACATTAATGAAAGCCTTACGCTTGGATCATTTCGTGAATATTCCAGTCGCGGTATAATCTGTGCTTTCACGCTTTGACACTTTGAAAGCGCGCGGCTTGTCGAGGCGCGCACGTAACAATCGCGCGCAAGCTATTTCCGTTCTCGTGACCGTCCATAAGAACGAATCGGACGCTCGACGATATCTCGGGTATTCCCTGCGGCTGTTTCAGGTGACGAGGTGATCGCGTGGAATGGAAGGTCCCTTCAGGGCAAAAGCTTCCGGGAAGTTTGCGACATCATCGGCGAGTCGAGGATGGAGCCGCAAATCGAGCTCGTAGTTGAGAGAAAGTTGTCGTCGACGACAACAGGCATGATGCCCGCAGGACCGGGCCCATCGACGCCCATGGCGTCGAGGCGGATCGCCGCTCAGAGTCAATGGAGACAGAAACACGAGAGCATCTCCGGACCTCAGCAACCGCATCACAAAGGTGACTATGCACTCAGCACGCTCCGTTTACGATCATCTTCCGACTTGATTTCATCTCTGTGTATCAAATGTCGTGATCTAGATCATTTTATCATCGACTCGTTGTTCTCGAAACTTCGACTTTCATTTTGTACAACTCTCTGAAACTTCATCGCTAATTTAATCCTACGATAGTCGTGCATGGGCTTATGATGCCAAGCGTTATTTTAATAGTTACTATGAGTGCTATGAGAAGTAAATCTTATGTATATCGATAGTGATTAATTGATAACACGAAGTAGATTGTTTTTAGATATCGAATTTATACAGAATATAAATTTGAGCATAGCACACGAAAAGTTAGAAAAATACGCAAGTTAAATGTAAGATTAGTTAGAAGTGTCCTGACTGGAAAGCGTGCAGGTCACGCAAGGCTTCCTAGAAATCAGCATCTTTCGTTTCACCGAATCTGTAAATTTCTACACAATTTTTTTTTTTTTAATACATATACATACATATACAAAAGAAGAGTCCAAAAAAAAGATTGAAAATATTGCGTATCGACAAAAAAAAATAGCACGACGTAATATGCACGACGATTTAATCGGATAAGATTGTGAAAGGAATTTCTGCGTAAGGGTTGCGAATTAATTATTCCGGTTCCATAAAATATTTATCGATATCAATTAAATCCCATTAAACGTAATCTTCTGAAATGGCACAAGACTACGAGGCGCATTGCGCTTCTCATTACTCAGCCTGTACTACTTTCATGGATAAATATACATTAAGCACACTGGAGCCGATGGCGTTGTCACAGACTATATGATTTTTCGTATATTCCAGGTCTTAAGAAATGTATCCTATGGGGTAGGCCTCAGACAACTTTCTTTAAACTACTATTTCGATTGATCAGTGTCTCTTTCCTTTACCGTTAGCCCTTCATCTCTGTTGCCGGTGGCCGTTTGGCGAGATTTCCTTTTTTATTAAATCTCAACAAACGGCACCGAGATAATAAATTTCGATGCTACGACAAGCCACATGGCGGAGCAACGAAAATTAATCTACCATTTATTCTGCCTTAAGCGTAACGTCGATGTTTAAACGTAGACGTAGATCGTAGTGCTAATGCACCCCCGCTAAACAGCACCGTTTATATAGGTATAGTCTTATGGGAGCAACAACTATATTACATGTATATACAAAATGTAAAAAATGCCGATATATTAACTCCTTACTGTCGTGCTTCTTCTTTATTTATAACAGATCTGAGTATCTCGTATAGCCCTTATGAATAAGCGTAATTTGCTGTATACTCACTACTGTCTATTATCTACGTGTATCGATCTAACATTATTATCATCACAACTCCCTTCGTTCTTTCTCGACTCGTTGTCACGGATTTCCGTGATCCCGAGAACCCGTGCATGCGAACTCCACTTCTTGGAAAGACGTGGGTGTTTCCAGAAGTGTTCAGAAATAGTTTATCGATTTTGCAACGTCCCCCGGGGTTCGATGACGCTGTAAGATAGAACTTGGTTTTCGCATCTATAATTTCACTAAAGTACCCAGTCAGCACAAATCTCCAGAATAAACGTCGAACAAGCATCCCGATCCTTCAAACGTACTTTCAACGTTTTTTGGATATGCTTCGAATCCTTATGTCGTTTGAGAGTATTTAATATATCACGAATATAAAAGTGTACTTATTAATGGAGCATATTTGCTGCTAACGCGAATTTGGCGTGTTATCGGCTGGTGAATGAATGTTTAATATAATGAGGGCATGAGAAAATTTATCCACTCACATTGAATCACCCCCGATACTCTCTCTCTTTATCATTTATGTCAATTTTAATTTCATTTCTGTTTGTTATTTCTCCCACGAAATCTCGAGCACCCCCTCTTCGTAAAATTCGCTCCAAGATCACAAATATGGAGTTATATCCCAGTCGACACTGCACGATCACTTGCAGAGTTGTACGACGCGAGGCGTGAGAAACCCTCGGTTTTAGTGACGTCGCCCGGCTCGCCGGACCTGCACGCCCAAGGACGCAGCCGACACTCCCGACATCCGACCGGAAATGCGAACGTGGGCGGTAGCATTCAGGTGAAGCTGAGTTTCGATCCCGTGGGACTTCAGCTGATCGTCACGATAATTTGCGCTACGGGCCTCACACCGAAGAGCAACGGCCAACCTAGAAATCCCTACGCCAAAGTTTTCCTGCTTCCCGACAAAAGGTGAATAATGGAGTCAATATATTTGATGTCTGATAAAAGTTTCGATTACCGGGAATTTCCGAGGAATACGCATAAATTTGTAAACTGATGTGTAAAGTTCGTTTGCTGTGATTGTGACGTAAAGTGCATTGAGATTATAAAACTGTTGCTAAATTTAATTGTGGTTATATTCTTTTTTACACTAATTTGTCTATTGTCAATTTTTTAAAAGCTCAAACAACTTGTATATTTTTACAAAATATTACAGCGAGAAGTCGAAACGGCGTACGAAGACTGTAGCGAACACAAACGAACCTAGATGGAATCAGACTTTCGTTTATAATGGAGTCAGACGTTCGGAACTAAGAAAGAGGGCATTAGAGATTACAGTCTGGGACTACGCGAGGTACGAGGCGAATGATTTTCTCGGCGAGGCTGTCCTGGAATTGGCAGTATGTCTCTTAGACGAGGAAGCAGAATGGCATTCTCTGACCGCTCACGGAGAACACCGGCACGTCAGGTATGAATCGCTCTCACGAATGCTAGTAGTTCCAATGCCAATACTAAAAGCGATCAAATAAATACCTCGCATCGACAACGAATCTCCCGCGGAATGTTCGACAATGTTGTCGTGTTATATCTCGCTCAGAATGTGACATCGCATTATACGACGGCTCGTTCTTCTCCGTGCTTCAAAAATTAATGTTAAAAAAAAAAAAGAGTGTCAACATTCTTATTTTTAAATAAATTCAAATAAATTTAATTTTGCAAGAACGCTAAGAAACGCTATTTTCCATCGACAATTTTCTGCAGGCATTACCAAGACACCGACGACATGATAGATTGTCATCTTAGTCCACCGTCGACCACTTCGAGATTAAGTGACTCTGACACCTCGGAGTGCGATATTACGGACTGCGACGTGTCGAGAGAGCAAAGAAGAACGGCCGACGGTGCCAGCATAAGTAGTATCGGCAGTTCCTCTAGGTAAGACCATCTTTTAAGATCCGGATAATAGATATACAAAATCTCCGTCTGGCGAAAGAGAATCGCTTGGAAAATAATCGATCGGGATGTCTCTGTTGAAAGGTCGCGTTTGTAGGTCCCGAAACACCTTTTACGCGCTCGAATCAGATTGCCAGATTAACTTAGGTGAACTGCATACGCTATCGAAAATCGGTAGTTAACCAAGTGTACTGGAATCAGTGTATTCGACTAATGAAAATTGCGTTACTAATTTGACAGCGCTGCTGCCCCCAACTTAAGATCCTGTTTACGGATCTCGTAACCGCACTGCCGTAACTGTTGCCGTAACAGTTACTCCCGTGCTCCTTGCGTTGCGGTCTTTATCGTCAATAACACGCGGTGGTTTATATGAGATTCCGTGTACGATGTGAAATGTTTTCCCGCGAGGATTCCTACCGTCGTTAGCTTAGTTTCCCTGCCGCTGTAATGAGGTTACACTACGTAATGAAATAAATCTTGGAGTCAAAATTGCTGATGCAATTTACATGATTAAAAAATTTTACGTGGCTTGAAACAGATTTACGAAAGGAGATTTTGTTAATTTCTTTTGCTAAATTGTTTTAATATGATTTAGTATTAATAATCATATCATAATTAACAAATAGTTCTTACGATGATTTAAAAGCAAATTTAATCGTATGAGATTTGACTCTCTTTTTCTTACAACCAAAAAGTAAATCAAAGTTCAATCAAAGTCGAAGGGGAGAGAAGTACGAATATATTATATAAAATAGATAAAAGTTTAAAAAAAAAAGACAAGAATTGAACGGGAGGGGCAATCGGAAGAAAGAGAGAGGGCAAAAGCCAAGTTATAAAACTGGGCAACAAGCCAATTGACATAGCAGTTGGCCCGCGACCATCGCTAGCTCCGGAAGTCAGCCTTAAATTCGTATCTATATTAATATTCTGGTGATGTCCGATCGTTATTTGTGAGTACAAAGTGGGTTTTACCGAAAACTTCCGAATATATATTTTATTTTTTTCAAACGGAAAGAATTATAGTGTACATTTAAAAGTGACCAAAAAAAGATAATGATCTAAAGTGTTATTTGTTTATAATATTGAAGACATTCAAAATGGCGTGGCTGAGGTATTATCAAAATAGATATTCTGTTGCAGTAAGCGATTTGTAAAAGTTAATGTCATAGTATACTAAAATTCGTAAAATAGTCTACGATACACTTTTACGATTCTCAAATATTTGGCAAGTAAATTTTTCAAAGTTGTGTCCCGGTTCTAATAAGATACCTTGGTCCGCGCAAATAATTCCCGCTTCGAAAGTGACTTGTCTATAAATTTTTCGCCGACGATATGTGATAAATCGAATCAATGTAGCGGATTGAATGAAAACGTAGGCTATCTTGGATAGGCTTGGCAGGTGGAGTGGCAGAGATGGGGATAAGCCGAAATACTATCCGGCATATATCGCTCTCCGCACCTCTTTTATATACCGAACAGTAGTTTCGATCTGCAAAGCGAGCACTTCTGTCCCTAAGCGCGCATCAGCCTGTAAAAGCTTGCTCCGAATAATTGAAACATTCCAATGTGCTCCGAGAGCGAACGGACATCCTGCACATATTTAACAACCTTCAATATCGCCTAATGAGATTATTCGAAAAGGTTTCACCGGTTACATTAATATCCTGTCGTCGTCAAATCAAGTCGGCGGCGATGATGAGATGTGGATAATGCATTTTAATATCTATTTTTATTGTATTTTATACGCACGTTATTATATTTAATGGCAAAATACGAATAACTCTTCCAATTAGAGAATATATACAAGAAAATTAATTGCTAAAAAAATTTTGATATTTATATATGTCTATAGTTATTTCTTTCATTGCGTTTTCATAATTCTGTATGAATATTGCTAAAAGATATTACATATTTTTAAGCATCAAAATGCATAGTTAAATCTTTTGTGATATTCTTTGAATTGACAAATATAAAGTATTTCATGTAATTGAAGTATAATTTATGAAAAGTTAAGTAACATTAGATATTTAATGACGCGTTGGCCGCGGCCGCGCCCGCTCATTGGTTTTGATTTTAATCGTATGCTTTGTTATTTATTTTTTAGGTTTCATAATATGCCGTCAAATTATAAGCGGTACGGCCATTACAATTTATATTTTCTCCTCCTTCACGAATCACGCAGTCACACGTCTTGCATCCTCACCGCTAGGTTACAATATTGCGCGTAGATCAGTCAATTAGTCATGCGACAAGTCGGAGGCGTAATAAAGACGAGACAACAGGACACATACTGACGTGATCACGTAGCTAATTCAATCTAAGAAACGGACAACAAAAAGAAACCTTCATTTAATAAGTGTATATCTTTAAGAGAGGGGAGAAAAATACCTCTTTCTCGGCAAAAGAAAGGAACAGTGACTAGGATACAGACGTCATTGATGACAAAAAGTACTGTTATTGGCGTGAAACGTTGCAACTTCCTAACGTTATTCCACTTTTCTGTGGAATATCGCGCACTAGACAATGAATATTACGATGTACAATAATGTACATTGAACACATTAGAAAATTTTCGGGAAAATTTCCGTCATTTGTCTTTGATTTTAAGACGCGAAAAGAATAGAAACGAATTGAATGATAAAATAACAAGTGCAAAAAATTTAGCGAATCTCCACCCACGTAGGCACTTTAGACGTCATACTGTCATTTGCTTCTTGCATATACGTTCTTGCATATTACATACATTAAGTCTTAGATGCGACGAGACATGGCTTCTAGAATGCTTAGCGCATTGCGATGCATCGGCCGGGGTGGATTGAATCTCTCTCGAAGCTTTTTGACTGCAATCACCTTCGGGTGCCATCCAATTTTCGAGACTGTCTTGCACAGACACTTCGCTTTTCGTTGCCAGAAACGGTGGGAATTACACCCCGTATTTTATATTACACACTTCGCACGATCGATCTCTGTAAAGTGCGCTACATACGCAGACTTGGCACTCATCGAACGCACTTACACGTCATATTCTCAGTTTATGGCGACTCACTCCTTTTTATCCCGCGATATCTGATTTTTGGCAACGAAGAGTCTCGCAATCGAGAACGCTGTGTAAACGCCGGAGAGAGACTTGACTGCATTGCCGAGTAACTTGGAGCTGCTTCGCGCCAAATTAGGAGTTATGCACTTGCAGTTTGCGATCTAAAGAGTCGAATCGAGCTCACGCTAGAATCTCATGCGCCAAATATTATAGTATGTGCAAAAGATTCGGAAGATATGAGTTTGCGTGCGAGTGGGGATTTGTTTCATTTTATTTTCACGACGTCGACGCTCAATTCCATCCTCAGTGCCATGTAGCTCGTCTTTCATTTACGGCATTACGAATACTTTCCTTTCTGCTTCTCTCTACCATCCTGGCCGCATGCATTTTTGAGATTAGCGCGAGATCACAGCACTCGCCTCATTTAACTTGTAAGGCACGCAGCGTTCACTGATTGATAAAAAAAAATGAACGCATGCTGGAGCAGCCACTATTCTAGCCCGCCGCCGGAGAGGGAGCTCTGCGTCGACGGTGAGCATCGGAGTCGAAGAGACATGTCGCCTCAAGGACGTAAAAGGGCGGCCCTCATGATCCGCGACCAACCAGCCACCATCGCATCGAGTTACCAGACATATCGTAAGGTAAGCATTCGAGGACGTTTATTTTCAATTTTCATCCATTCGTCGATCACAGAGAGATTTAAAATCGAAAAGTTTGAAAGTTGTAAAAAAACGTAGCATTTAAAATACTTGAAATTTTAATTAAGTAATAATCGTTGGAAAAATACGACAAATTAAAAGCGTTCCGTTTGCATATTATGATTTCTAGAATTATGTTTTCCTTCACTTTTCTATATTATTGAATAATATTTATCAGCACCTCCAGTACATAATTAAATACGTGTCCCCAGGACGACATCCATCGGGGAATGATGGGTCACAGGTCGCACAGCGCGGCACCTATGGACTCGCCGAGTGTCAGGTACCGCGGAAGGTCTCAGAGTCCCACTGGTCATCGTTCCTTGTCGCCACCCGAACATAGATCCATTCCCTACTCGCATGGATACGTTCACTCCACGAGGTATGAAATATCGCCGGAAACTTTTTAATATTCCTTACATTTACATTTTACATTTACGAGCTCGCGAGCAACTGAAAAATGGACTTATCCACGCGCGCTTATTTAGATTTGGCTCAAGATCGGCGACTGCCACTCCCACTGGATCGCCAAAGAAACGTCAGCTACCTCAAATCCCGGCAACCATGAAGGAGAGGATCGCGCAGGATCTAGAAGAACGAGCGAGATTCATGAGACACCGCAGCAGGCCGATGTACAGAAGCACGGGTATGGGAAGTGAGTTTCAATTTTTTTTTTTTTTCTCCGTCGAAGAAGAAAGTCTAAAGTTCGCACTTTGAACGGACGATAGTCTTTTTTTGTCCAGGTAATACTATTTTATTTGGCACTACTGGACTGAGAGAAAGAATAAAAGTAGAATTAACTATAATGCAACTTGTTTTCTTTCTAATAAAAAAAAATATAACTTATTTTTTCATAAACTTTCCATTGTCGTTTCTTGTAAATAATGTTAATTGATCAATTTCCAGCCTGGGAAAGGCATTACAGCGGCCTTTCGGACTCGGATCTTCCCTCAATGGGACACGATCCGCTATCGTTGCCACACAGTCACCCTCATAGATTGCACAGACCGAGAAAAGGACACTTGAGTCCCGACAAAGACATACTCGGTGATCTCGGGGATTCTGACATGGAGAGCATAGCTTCGGTAACGAGCAGTGCCTTTAGTACACAATCGGAACGGCCACGTGGATCGAGAACGCTAATGTGAGTATAGTGTCATAATCATTACGCTGTTTTAACGTTAACCGGACGTCCTCGTGTTGCGAGGTCAATGTGCAAAGCAACGCAGATGCCATAATCACGAGAGAGTAATCCCGTTAGGGAAAAGTTGAGAGTGTGCTGCTTGACATAATCCGGCGTCGAATATTGCTATAATATACGAGATATATTTTCATAAATCTGAAACTTTACGTTTTAATATATTTCAAAATCTTTAAATCGATCGGGATAGCACATTCATCGGCTCAATCTCTTTAGTCAAGGTTAATCCCTGGATTAAATGGACATTGTCGACTAAATGGATATCCTGTAGTTGCACCATTTAACTCCCGCTTGTGCGTCAGTGTTTCCAACGTCCACCCTCCGCCCCTTTCTACGAAGTGATTAGACTGCACCTCCTATGCACCGTGTCAATGTCCATTTAATAGTGTCCCATTCTAAGAAAGCAGGGATCGTAGCGTTGGTCGAACGGTTAGGTATAACCTACAACTATAGTTGTGTGCCTCATCGCACCGGAGAAAGAAAAATGACGCATTGCGAAGCACATCGATCGCCGCGTGTCTCTTCTGAAATGCCGACCCGTTGTTCTCGGCGAATCGACAGAGTCGAGTTCTGAGATTTCATGACCGATACGCGTTCGATCGATCGCGAACGCGCGGTAGACTGAAACTAAAAACAGTGAAAAAAACCGGGAAAAAAAAGAAAAAGAAGAAAAAGAAAAAAAAAAAAAAGCGAAATGGGCTCACCCTTCTGGTTGGGTTTCCACAAAGAGCGTTAAACTCTCTATATAGAAAAAAAAAACACATTGTTTGCAGACCGACAGTTAAAAGCGTTTTGATACCCGGTGTCGTATCCCCCTTGCCCCCACCCTCTAGGCGCACTAGGCGCAGGCACAGACTTAGGGTACCCTGCAGCGAATGTCATTGTCCGAGCAACAGCAGTCCCACCAAGCCCAAAAGCAACAACCCCAGCAAGTATCCCACCCCCCCGCATCCCCTCGTACGGAGCAAGTCCGCAGTGGTGCGCTCGTTGTACAAAAAGATGCGTACGCCCTTCACGAGATCGCAGACCGTCGACGAGAACATGCTGAGATATTACAGCCCCGAGACCAGCGAGTACAGCGTTTCCGAGGGGTACATACTCAGGCCGGAGAGACTCGCAGCCGGTAACGCTAAGAATCGTATACCGGCGATGTACGTCGAGGACTGCCTCCGAGTCGAGTTTAACGATCGCTTCGTGGAGAAATTTCGCTCCAAGTATTCGTGTCTCGCGGGAGAGCGCAACGTCGCGCCATCCGATTCCGCGGTGACGACAACGACGACGACGATGACGACGACGACGACGACGACGACGATGACGATGACGACGACGACGACGACGACGACGACAATAACGACAACGACGACGACGACGACGACGACGATCGGGCGGCCGATTATCTCGTGTGATCCGAACGACTTCCCTGACCATCTCGACATTAGGAGTATAGACGCTAGTTTGCATCCGCGTAGGTCTTTCTTATCCGCTAAGGCTAGGAGCTTCGATCACGACGTGATGCACGATACATACGGTGATCGTTTCGGTACTAGGCCTGGGGCCGTCGGTCTGCTATCGCGCCGGGCCAAGAGTTTCGAGTACGAGAGCATTTCGAGCAACATATTCAGCGACGACAGTCTCAGGACGGCCAGGAGAAAGCTCAAGCGGAATCTCTCTCTCAGCGACGCCGGATACGGCGACAAGATACCGGCGCTGGGCGATCAGAGCAAATCCTACTACGATTCTAACGGCGACGACAAAGTGCCTAAGAGTCTCGCGAGCAAAGAGACGAGTTACGATTTTCTCCTCGATGAGGAGCACAAGCCGTTTTACGGATACGACTCGGAGCTGAGCTGCGGCGAGACGGAGATCTACGTGCCGAGCTACGAGAAGAAGAGCATTGAGAGCAGCGATTACAAGCCTTCGTACGGCTCGCACTTGGTGGACGACAACGATCTCTTCACCAGCGGCAACGACCGTGCTAATCTCAGGAATATTTTGGACAAGGAAGACACCGGCAAAAGAAAATACATAGACGGTAGTTATTTGAATCACGATTCCTCGTACATCAGAGACATATCGCCGGAGAAGAGAGCGAAAAGCTTGGAAAGCGACCTTCGCAATCCGATCGGCGATCGCATGTATTGCAGCATCGACGAGGCTCTGTCGTCCGGCGAAAATTACGCCCGCAATATTCTCGCGAGATCCGTCACGAAGATCCATGACACTTGTGATATCGACAGCTGGACAAAGGACGTGAAGAGTGTGCTACGGTCTCACGGCGGAACAACAACCAGCCGTTCTTATGAAGAGGACGGATACAAGAGTTACGAGAAGTGGAACGCCGATTACGACGAAGGATTCATCGACCGAGACAAAAGCGAGGATTACGAGCAGAAGCAATTTGGCTGTCTGAAGAAAGGCATGCGAAGTTTGAGAATCGGCGCGTCGGCGCCGACGTATGGCGAGTACCGCGACGGAGCGAGTCGCCCGCGCATTCTTCATGGAAAACGTTACGCACAGTCCGAGGATGAGGGCGGAAAGCTCGCGACGAGCGACTACCCGAGTTATCGCCCCGCCGAGGATTACGAATATCAGACTACGCACACGGCAGTAGGCAAGGCGGATTTGTACGAGGACGGCTCGGCGCCGCGTAGACGCAGACGAAGGAGCAGAAGAGGCAGCAGAGAGGGGAGCAGCGCAGGTGATTACGATAATGTGCCGGCCAGAGACGCGCAGTCGAGATTAACAGAGAGCAAGAGACTGATGATCCAGCGAACCGAGTCCACGCCGACTCTGCACTCGGACGAGGACCTAAGCGCGAATGCGGATCGCATGAGACGCATATACCGCCGTAGACGAAACAGCAGCCTGCCGGAAAGCAGAGATCTGCGTATGTACGACCGGCGAAGAGACGGCGAGGAGAGGACGTCGAGCTGCGTGCTGGACTCCGACGAGGAGTTCGGCTCCATGGAGACGGTCGTCGGCGCCGATTATTTCCGTCGGGCCACGTCGGATGCGAACGACGGCGTTAGATCGAGCTTCTTTGACGCGGAACAAGATCGTAGTAGCTATTTAGACTCAAGATACGATTACGAGGACCGTTATCAGGACCGCAGTTACCCGGAGGCACGCGAGCTAGTTAGGTCAGGGTCACAGCGTACTTCGAGTCGCGAGGCGCGACACGCGTCGCGCGCTAGGCGTAAGAGTAGTTGCCCCGAGTGTCGTGAACTAGCGCTGTCCGCCTCGGAGTTAGGTAGGTCGGGATCGTTGTCGCGAAGGGGTGACGACGCACGGCGATCATCGTTAGAGGCGAAGCATAGATATCGTAGGCGGAACAGCAGCTGTCCGGAGGCTAGGGATCTCGAGATGTTCGAGAAGAGGCAGCGGCAGCAGCAGCTAGCGCAGCGTCATCATCAGCAGCAGCGCCGGCAGCCGAGCCAGCAGCACCAGCAATCGCAGCACCAGCAGCAGCATCAGCAACCGCAGGGAAGTAGTAAGAGGAACGTGGCGATCAGCGACACCCTCGAGTACTACGAGTACTCGATGGAGAGCGAGAGCCAGTGCAGCGAAAACTGCGGATTTGGCCCGTGCGATCCGCGTAGGCCCCGTAACCGAGCACCCCGCCCTGGTAACGCTAATTCGAGTCTCTTTGATTCCCAAACCGCTACCTCCGATACTGCTAAAAACTACCACCCACGGGTCGACGATCATCATCATCAACATCCGCGAAACACGAAAACATCACCGCTCGCCAATGTCGTCGACGTGGCATCCACGTTCCTGCTTTCGCCGTCGTCGTCCTCGTCGTCCGCCCGGCGACGACCCCGAAAAAAATCTTACGACGTCGACACGGCTGCCGCCGATCGTCGCGACGACGACGACGCACGAAATCGTCGTTCATCATCCATGCCCGAAAGCAGCGAGTACAGCGGTCAGTCGAGTTCGTACGAGAAGACGCCTAGACGCCAGGTCACCGACAACGGGCACGACGAGCACGACAAGAGAAACCAGTTCACTAGGAGTCTTAGTAACGCCGATGTGCCGCAAGATGAGAAAGGTGAGAAAGTTTTGCCTTTTTTCTTTTCACGCCGAGACGAAAATTACGGTTCTTTTTGGACAAAGATCGAAAAGTAGATTTGTAAAACGTTATTTTCCAAAAATATTGATGAAATTAGGCGCTGATTGTTTTCGTTATTTTCGAATAAACATCGTAATCGCGCGATTGTAGTATTTTTACTACATCTACGATATTAAAAACTAAACTCATTCAAATTAAATTGCTTTTTACGGATGTTAAAACTGATTTTTCACATTACTGCCCATCATGCTTTTTAACCAGGACCTTCTATTCAATATGTAGTTTTAATTTTTCGCTGATGCGTACGTCAGAGACTACGGGCATCGATTTTACCGTCATGATACCGTGATGTATAGTTTTAAGAAAGCAAAGACAAAACTTTGCAAAGGGGTGACATAAATTTTTGCCAAGATTTATTGTCACGAACTCATATTTAGCGATAGTTAAACTGCGGACGGACGTCTATGCGAACGTTACGAAAGTTTTGTCTGAATTTATTAAGTCACGAACGTCTTCTCTTCTAGACTGGACACGCAGTTGCTTTCGTATATATATTATATCCTTTTTAAGATTTATAATCAAACTAACCGAAATTCATTAAAGTTCTATTGTTTCATACTTTTGTTTCGTTATTTTCAACACCAGCAGTACACGCAAAAACATTTTGGAGGCAACGTGACCTGTTTTTTATAGTACATTTTCTAGTGTTTTTTATTTTATATATACGTATGTGTAAATATACGCATTCTTGTTTCGCAGACACGGGTAGTTTCAGCGATACAGCGATTGCATTGAATGTTGAAGACCCGTCGAGGAGAGGCCGTAAGAGCTCGCCGGGAAGCAAAAGCGGAAGCGGTAGCAGCAGCGGAAGCGCGGTGCAGTATCAAGCGGGTCTGGGGAAGAAGAGTAACAGCACCAGCCAATTATCCGCGACAGGTAACACATTGTCACACTGGCCATTTCTAGTTAAGTTTGCCGTTTAGTCTCTACGTGTTACATACGTAGTCGATTTTCCGTAAAAAACCGATCGTTCGCGCGAAAATAACGTTTCTCGGTGCGCGACATTTAGAACGTTTTGATCGATGTATGACACCATCTCTACGCGACATTAGACAGTTTTCTATTCCTGACGTTTCTCTTCTTTCTTTAGTGAAAAGGAAATCGTTTTCTCTTCAGAACATCGATATTTCGTAAATTAGGATAGCGTAGTCTAGCATCGTTAGTGCGTAGATTAAAACGGTGTGCTCTCGCTACGCGCGTAAAATGAGAATGAAAAAAATTAATTGCCGGCATATGATATACTGTTTGTTAAGAATATTCGCAGTGAAGAAATGGATTTCAGAACTTGAACGTGTTGTAAAAACTTTCCATCAGATTTCTGAACAAAACGCAGATGAAGAATAAGAATAGAAAAAATAAGGAATTATGTGGACAGAAAGGATATCAACATATCTTTATAATTAATAATCGCGTACGGAATTAATAAGAATTGAAAAAAATTCCAATTTTAATCACGCAGCATAATATTCTTGCAATGTTACCAACTGCATGTAAAGCATTTATACCTGCGGGGCAGCTGACAAATTGAAAACGTTACAAAACGAACTTGTCGCGTTTGTTAATTATTCCTTATCTGTTATACCTTATTCTTCGCATTTAACGGATTCCAATACTTGTATACGAACGAATATGATCACAATTCGAGCGTACGTCAATTCGAGCAGATAACATCTGTGAAACGCTAACAAGAGCATACCGTAGTCAAGCAAAAAACCCAGTAAGCGGGGCAATATGTACATTCTAATTGTATTCTTGTTTTCTCCGCCATCCCTCCTCATCTCTATCCGCCTCTCTTCGACATGAACACACTCACACTTTACTTCTACCAACCAACCACCTCTCGACGCTGGGGGACCATTCACGTCATCGATCTGCACCCACCTGCACGATTTCTCATCGCGGCGGCCGATCGTCGCCCTCGCGCGTCCGTGCGTGTTCACGGAACACACCATACGGATCATCGATCGATTTGCTGGACCGATCGCCACTGTCACGACAAAAAAAAAATAACTCGAACTCGATACTCTCGTATTTACAAAATACAATATATACATCTGTAAAATCAATCCGATAATCGATTGACATCATGTTCACAACAACTGTTGCTCTTGCTACCGCAACTTGCAACCACAACGAACAACAAAAAAACTATATCACGTCACGCAAAATCCATAACATGCCACGTGCGTCTGTTGGTGGTACATGCGTGGGCGAGGAAGGACGGAAACGGCGGCTGGGTTTCGGGAAGAAGGGGAAGTCGTCCTTTACAGTTCACAGGAGCGAGGAGGTTCTGCCGCCAGAGGATACGGCCGGCGGTAGGAGCGGCCGACAACCGAGCTCCGCGAGCAGCGACGGCGAGGGGAGCGGCGACGGGGACAGGTCCGACTAGCTCTCTCTCTCTCTTTCTCTCCTCTCTCTCTCTCTCTCTCTCTCTCTCTCTCTCTCTCTCTCTCTCTCTCTCTCTCTCTCCGACTAGCTCTCTCTCTCTCTTTCTCTCTCTCTCTCTTTCTCTCTCTCTCTCTCACTAGAAAAAAACTCCTCTTTTTCATCTATCACACTTTATTTTCTTCATACCTTTTCGCATTGCGTGGGAGCGACCGGCAACGGCTCGTCGACGGAGGTCTTTGCCGCAGTTTAGCGTTTCAATCGCACTGAATTCCGGGCTCTCGCGCGGAGACCAGTGACATTTTCACGCCACTCATAGATATCTTCGATAAGGAATGACGATGCGTGTATCGCGCATAGAGATTATCAATGCGTGAAAGAGCGAGACATTGATAGAAGGTTTTATTCAGGTATAATTAATTTTATTAATTGGATCAAGCCTTCGACGAAATGTGAGTACACAGTTGCAGGAGGACTTGTGATAGGAAGAACAAGAGCTACCGTCCAATTTTCGTGACACCGATGTTTTGAACAGCAACAATGAAACACACCACACATCACTCTTTAGAGGCCGTGCTTTAGTCGGAGTCGTGCGAGTCTCTCGTGATTGTTGTGTCGGAAAATACTCTCTTATTCCTAAAGCTAAACCGGCTTACGATTAATATGACGGATCTGCAAAAGAGATCATCGTCGTCGAATGTTGCTCTTTTTTTTCTTTCTTTTTTCCTTCTTTTCTTGGACAATCGAAGAAAGTATTTTGCGAATCTGCACGTTTCTTCAAAATAGTCACGAGGTGATTCTTTCCTTCTCGTTATCCTAGATCGTAGAGGCTATTTCTACGTAGCATTGATAGCGTTATTTCTAGAGGAACGTTCGCACGAGTTTCCTGGGCTGTTAAACTCGCCGTACTGTCAAATGTCAAGCTGTCAATCTTACTTGGTGTTCCGTGAAGTCCATGCACCTCCGATTTAGAATTACGCTGGTATGATGTGAATCACGCAGATCAGGAAACTCAACTCCTAGTTGCACAAGTATAGTTGTGCTGGCGCCTTTTCGTGACTCTAGAATAGTGTCGGCACCGTGTGTCACGTTATAATCGTTATGAACCATATACAGCTTTTTGAATCTAGATCGTCGCGTGGTCAATTTGAATTTTTCGATAGCATCGAGGTAAGTTGGCCACTTGATACGTTGTTTTTTTTATTATTTCTTAGAAGCCGCTGTTGATACGTGCTTCAGGTGAGAGTGCGCTACTCACACGGCTTTTGACTTTTCGATGTCCTGAATCGTTGCAGCGCTTTTACGAGCATATTTACGTTTCGATATTTCTGCGATTATTGATCACGAATCCGTTGAATGTGCCATCTGATATATATTTACGTCATTATATATATACAATATACCGGACAATCCTTACGTACCGAGCTGATAATTATAATCACATTGGCTTATTATTATCGGATTGAGAACGTTCTACTCATATAAAGTGTATATATTCTTGTGTATATAATTATCCGTGTACTTAAGGCGTCCGGGAATTATATTAAATAACTCTTCTTAGTGATAGATATATTAAGTAACTTTTCTAGAATTGCAGCTAATTAAATTTTACATATAGCATCATCGTATATTGCCAAAAAAAAAAACATACTAATAATTCTCCAACATAATAATATTAATTATTGTCTCGACAGCCTATACGAGTTGATAGAATAGAGATGCCATGCGACAGACCGCTGAAGATTTACTTATTCATGCTTTAGCGCTCTGTCCCAAAATTTTAAGTCTTATATAAGGGACTAATATGAGATTAGATATATTCATTGTTTGGTGTCATATGCAAATGCCCGCGCGATAATATCTCGTTACATTTCACTGCAAATATCACGACACCTGAATAAATCCTCGCAACATTTCCCTTTCCTATCGATATATATATATATATATACATATATACATAATATAAAGTGCTTTTTGAATTACAAGATCTCATTCCAGCTCTGCATCTTACTACTAATCATTAGATTGATTCTGAAAAGCGAACAAAGAGAGATCGAGCGAAAAAAAAACGAGAGGATACATGAGAGAAGAAGGTTGCACGAAAGAACATGGAGAAAGAGGGAGAGAGAGAAAGAGAAATAATCAACAAACACCCTATATATTGAAATCGTATTTGTCACATTCTGCGATTCCATCGTTGTGCGTGGAGACGCACGTAAATTAAAGACCGTTCGGCAGCCCTTGGATTACCTGGATGAGAGAGCCGCCTGGCACACGCAGTATTAGTGAAAGACAATAGTTTAGCGGTATTTCTTGTTTGGTTTACAACGCAGAGTGCGGCGGGATGATCATCGGTGGTGGAAGCGCCGGCGCCGTGGCACGCGGTGCCGGTTTAGCGAACCGGAAGCGCAACAGCACGCCGAGCAGCATACAACGATCCGAGGAGATCATGCCTGTCTACCAGGTGCGCTTTGACAACAAAGGATCGGCAGCCAGCGATACCGCCGGAAGTGTCAACTCGATCTCTAGTTCCGAAGGAAGCTCGTAAGTAGTGGACTCCACCTGTGGCGACCAATTCTGCAAGCGGAAGCGCGAGATTCCTGATACATACACTCACACTCTCTCTCTCTTCTCTCTCTTCTCTTCTATCTCTTTCTCTCTCTCTTCTCTCTATCTCTATCTATTTATCTATCTATCGATTTATCTGTCTATCTATCTATCTATCTATCTAGCTATCTCTCTATCTCTCTATTTATTTCCTTCTTCTTCTTCTTTGTTTCTCTTTTTCTGTCGTCTATTTCTATCATCTAGTCCTACTATTGATTTCTATTTCTCTATTTTCTGTCTAACTTATCACTTACATTCAGCCGCGTGCACCTTGACTAAACGAGAAACTGTGAGCTCTAAGTTCTTCTGCAAATTTAATAATAATTTTGTTATCAATAAAGTGTCGAAATTATTCTAGAACAGAAAAAATTGTAAGATGAATATTTTAATATATAGAATACATTGTCAGATCGTACTGTAATAATTAGTATATTGTTTGATTTAATTTTTTCGAAAAAAAGTTGATAAAATAGAAGTAAAAATAAAAAAAAATTGTAAATTAATAAACCTGTTGATTTTTTCGGAAAAAATTATGAGAATATTAACTATAATGCTTATCGTCAACAAATATTTGTTTTATTTAATTGGCAAGTTTATTAGTTTATTATTCACAGCTCGCAGTTTACTCATTACTTATCGTTTACCAACGTACATGCGAGCTAATTGTATCCTCATTCTCCAATCAGTAGGACTTATTCTTTGTCGTTCAGAGACTTTATTATGAAAGATATTGTTAAAAAATTTATTACAAATCTTATTTATTGTCTGAATAGACATCATTAAAATAATGATTATAGGATTATTACGATTTATTATCATTGTTATCGTACGATCATATAAATCATCAGTTGCAAACAAAGAATAATCCTGCTGGCCTTATTCCTCACATGCGCCAAGATTTATTATTCATACGGAAAATCGTGAATACTCTAAATCGATTATTACATCTTCAAATATGTGATTGCGTCTATGATTTGAAATGTGTGTTATGGGCACACGCTTTTTTATGGTTCTTCAATTTTTATCAATTTGCAGTTCAGATTTTCCATCACTTTCGTCAATTACAGTTCATTTCTAGATTTATTATAAGCTAAATAAAGCATTAGTCATACATAAAAATTAGAAATTTATATATTCAGAAAGACTATATGCCATACTTTACTGCAAGGCGAATAAATTATTTTTATGCCTATTTATTTATTCATTTTAATTTTGGTGAGTTCTCGATGTAATAATTGAATAATAATTTATGTAATCAAGATTATATTTTAGGAAATGCAATATTTTTTCGTGTCAATAGAGTGCTTTTACTATATGTCAGTTTTATAATGCGAGGAGGAAATATGTACTAAAGTATAGTCTTCGACGAATTGACTGAGATTTATATTCTGCTGTCTTTTTTCTGTCTCCTTTTACCCCTCCCACCCCCTTTCCGATGTTCTTTAATCCCTGCTCCAGAAATGAAAGCACCCATGAAAATATTGTCGTCCATTATCGGTGTTGTTGTCGTCTTGGCTTAATTGCTTGATTGTGGCAAATGGTTGTATCGCATTATTTCGGAGCACCGTTGCACATATAACACGCACTTTTGAACCTATTATATGTCAATGTGATCGTTATCGCGGAGCTCTACTTTCTACCCTACATGGTAAGAGAGACGCTAACATACTGTAAATACGCCGAGTGTCATCCAAGAATGTCTTCGCAGGACCGTTTCCTCAGTGGTTTCCATTATACTTCTGTACGATTCATTATCTTTTATACATAGTGGATACTCTCTATTTATTGAGACCAACGTACCTTGGAAAGCAGCCCCCCCCCGCCTGATGGATCTCTCTGTCTTATTGTTTTTTTTTTTCCATATAAAGTGTGTTTCGTAGAATAGGTATTTGTATACAGCGGCGTACCTCTTAGAATGCGCGCCGGATCGAGAAAACAGACGACGATTGAGATAGATTGAACGTAGGTATGTGTCTACGTGAATTGTAGAATTGTGTGAGCGGGCAAACGTTTTGTCGGTTCGGCACGAGACTTTTATAAATATAATAATCTGGATAATTTACTGTTTTATTTCTTGGCAGCATTCGATGCCTAAATATAGTCGGGAAGTTCGGAGAAAGTGGTTGGCTGTGATCGGATGTACGAACTTTCATTGATACGTGACTGTGTCCGTCACTCAAATATATTATCGTACTCATTAAGCAATGATGTAGTATTAAAGTCATTACAATAAGTCAATAGTGATGTAGCATTTGAGTGATCGAATAATGCAATTAGGTACGATCACTCTGCAATTGAAAGAGACCTACATTTATTTCATGTTAAGGTGCCACGAAAAGTCTATGCTAATTTCTAAGTATAATTAATGATTAGATTAATAACAATTTCGAGTATGGCCATGTACATTCGATGGATATCTACATTTATAGATACAGAACTGTTTGAAAAGTTCCGCTTAGCATTAATAATGCGAATCTTCTCAACGGTGCGTATTGTAGCGGCGACAAGTAAGTGTAAGTTAATACAATTTTTTTCATTAATTTCTCCATCCCTAAAGTTTTAGTGAAGCATGTTAAATAGATAAATGTAACTTGCAGCGAAAGAAAACAGTACTCAGTCGTATATTAAAATTAAATCTAATGAAATTTAAAGACTTTATTAAGACATAATTTTATTAAGACATTCTTTAATTATAATAATTATGACATTTATATATTTCTATACGTTTATATACTATTTTTATATTGTTCACATTGAAGCAGACTGATTACTGTTATTTATAATTATTTAAAATGATACCTCTCTGCGTTAGATTAAAATGCATGCGTTAAAGTCTGGTATGTTTTTAAAGTTATCTATATAATCTTTTTCCATGTATATAATATATTTACTCACTACACTGACACTACACTTTCAGCGTGAGTTCTTCTTATCTTAAACTGAATGAGGTGTGTGTTCTCTCTCTTTTAAAACTTTCGTCGAAGGCTTGCGAGAATTGTCCCTCGCTCCTGCGGAATAATATTTTCGTTTATGATTTTGATTTTTTCATTCTTCACGTTGTCATTGCATCAGTTTCTTCAAACGGTACTCTGATTTTCGGCTTGCAGTTTTCGCGCTTTACTCTTGCATTTATAGATCCAGCGCGTTTAGAGCAATCAAGATCGTTGTTCTGCACACGATCTTCAATAAGTTTACATGCAAGAGCAAGAGAATGGAAAAAAAGGACAAAGTTATAAAGTACAATTTCAATTTTCATTATTCGTAAACACTGTAAGCCAGGTTTTCACTTTTTTATGGCGTTTTTTTTTTAATTCTCTATCAGTTGCTTCTTGAATCATACTTCATATTTCTCGTAGTATCCCGAATGAGTCGCATTCCCACGCTAAATATATAATTTTGAAAATCGCAGTTGGTCTCCCAGTCTGCGAATGGCAGGCGAAGGACAGTTGCGAGAATTCATGGATGATCTTGGACCTGCTCAAATGGTCGGAAGGCAAGCACTCGGTGCCCGTTGTCTCGGCGAGATTCAACTATCGTTGAGCCACGTGAAGGGTTGCCTTCAAGTAGAGGTCATACGTGCCAAAGAGCTTAAACCGAAACAAGGCAGCAAAGTAATACCCGGTAAGTAGCTTCGATAAAGTCTCCTCGTGTCACTCGAGTCACAAAGCGTGTTGTCCCTTCGAGATAACGCGATAGACACGATTGACGCGATTTAACGTTGTAGAAACCAAAATATTTTCACTGTCCGCGAGATGCTTATGTCGATTCTCATTCCAGCTTCTTACGTGAAGCTTTATCTGGTGAACGGTAAGAGATGTATAGAGAAAGCGAAAACCTCGATGGCCAGAAAAACGTTGGATCCATTCTATCAACAGTTGTTGGTTTTCAAAGAAAACTATCGGGGTTGTATATTACAGGTACGTGCTGCGTCGTCAGTTTTTACAGTTTTTACTAATTTTTGACGGTGCGTCGTCATGCGTAAATTTAACCATTGTTATATATGCTTTCAGGTGACAGTATGGGGTGACTATGGCCGAATAGAAGGGAAAAAAGTGTTCATGGGTATTGCACAGATCATATTGGATGACCTGGACCTCAATCAGATGGTGTTCGGATGGTACAAGCTGTTTGACACCCAAACCCTGGTCAGTGGAACTCCATCTCTTGCTTTGTCCCGTCGATCTTCGGCCACGTCTCTCGATTCTTTTAAGATCTAAAAGAATGACTGTCTGAAGAACGTACCGAAATATTCCTTTTATACATATTTAAGGAGGAAATCTTTGAGTTTCTTGCAGTAGACAAAGTAGAGCAAACACGATTGAGTTCGAGCTCCTATCGCGATGCACCTAGTCGCTTCTACCATTAATAAGATACCGAAATGCACGAGTGGATGTATAAGATAGTATTATATTCGCTGATAAATACTTAGAAATTGAAAGTGAAAATTGTTAAACATTTTCAATAAGTCTTAAGTGCACGCGGAAAAACCATCGCTCGATGGGATATTACATGTAGTATCAAATGTAAAATGTATATTAGAGGATAAAATTATCGCTGCATTCGTCGTATAAAAATTGGAAAAAAGTATCATAGATGATTCTCTATCGTTGTAATATCATGTTCTTTGCTACGGTTGACAAAAAACCTCGCTAAAGTTGACCAAAAAATCTAATGTACCACATATATATCCCCCCTCCCGTAGGCTGTTAATGTTAAAGCCTAAAATTAACTTAACAAGTGACGTTCGGCTCTGAATACGGTAAAAAGTCAGTTTAAATCGCATAAACGAGGAGTGCAGTGCGACGAATACGTCGTGCGTCGAATAATAGTTGAAAATTCTGCGAGGCCGGAACGAAATCGAAAGATAATGCAAAGACGATGTGAGAATGCGAAAAAAAAGAGTCAAAGAACGTACGAAGGGATATGTCTTTCTAGAAACACCACTAGTACATCACATATCATGTACGGCATATCAGACGAGCCACTAGTCTGTATGTAGACTAGATGTAGACGTAGCAGCCATGTTCCCGGAGCGCCAGATAGTTTTAGGTATGCACTGAGAGATCAAGGCATCGTTTGTAGCTAGTTGGACAACGATTTAACGTGGGTACACGTGATAATAAAAATTCAAGACGCGATCAATCGCGAGATAGCTACAACATCCGCAGTATATTAACGATCGAATACAGCAATATGATGTTTATGTGTTATTTAAATGTATTGGTAAATTTTCTCAAGTACCCATGTGAAATCTTGATACACATTTGTTATTGCCAGTATCTTTTATCCATTTCCACGTTCTGCATAGAAATCTTCTCTTCTCTTTGAAAATGCCTGCCCTATGTGAAAAATATTTCCATGTGGCTTCGAAGTAGCGACATAGAGTCGATGAAAACGGCACAGAATTACGTTATCGCGCGGTCGTAACTTCGTTGCCTTGTGCTGTCTGCATCGATTTTTACCTTTCCAAACTTGTAGGAATATGCCTCTGTCTTCGAAATTTGATTCGACATAGGAAAGCTCAATTTTTATTAATCCTTGAATTTGCTATTTGCACCAATTTTAATACTTTCCCTTACTCTCCATAGGAGCGACTTTTATATAAACTTCCTAATATCTTGCTTGGTATATATCACACTATTGATTTCGAGTTTTGCACACAGCATTGCATTCTTTCATAATTCATTCAAATTTCCTTGTAAATATATAGTAGGTCATAATAGTATTTAATATGCTTTTTTACCAATTTCAAAAAAAATATAAGTAAGTGAAGGTAAGTTCGAGCCGTATTCGGAGTCTTATGTATCCTCTTGTACATTTTCTCGAGATGTTTTTATAAAAAAAAACTAATCAATTTGAGATATTGAATGGTGTTGACGGAAATCAGAAATCTGTGCATATGCGATGATATTTGACACACGATTCTTACGCGTATATGTATAATGGAAGTTTTTATCATTCAATATTTCATTAAAAAATAACGTCATATTATGTATTTATAATTAGTAATACATTTGTTTATCTTATTTACAGTGAAAACAAACCAAATCGAGCAAGTTTGGGATAGATGTGAACTCAAATGTGGTGTACTAGGTAAATAAGATGTGAAACGATCAATGACGACACACGTTTTCAGTGAATCTAAATGTGGTTAAGTGAGTAAGAAATTAATGAATACAGTGAAGAATGAAGTGTCGATGAACTTCACTTAATCGACACGCGGGAAGGATTGAAAAATGTTGAGAACAGTATACATATATACATATATAAATATATTACATATACTTATGGAAGACGTTTCCAGACTTTGTATATAATTTAGGACAGTTCAAGTACTAAATGCCGATCCTCGAAACAGTTCGGCTGAAAGACGTTTATCGTTGTCAAGTTTTTAGTCAAAAATGTCACCGTCAGAGCATATATTATTTAATGTAAATAATATAATAACTATATAAATTTGCGATATGTGCGCGCAGGTTTGAATGGGTAATGACATTATAGCGTTATATTCTCGTTGACTTACGATTTCTACGATGATCGTTACTAATAATTTTCGCATTTTCTGTTAATTAGATAAACTCGATCTAATTTTATCGTTCTTAAGTTAGCATCGGAATATTTAGAATTGTACGATAATGATGTGATTAATTACACAGTTTGTTTTCTGACATAATACCGACATTCATTGGTCATCGTATCTATCACGTTATTTGGCTTTTTACGATTTGTTTAGTAACTTGTCCAAAAAAATGAGACAAACTATTACGATATAGAAAATGTGGAGCAAACGTATGTACCACATTTGTTAAGTACGAAGCAGACTGATAAATCGATTCCTATGCATCAAGTTTGGCTGCTTTCGTTGAATTAGCGATCTTGAAGCCGGATTGAAGAAGTTATACCCGAACAAGTGGTGAATTAGCTTCGTTTGAGAATTTTGTTTGGGAATTTTATTCACGTAAGAAAGAAAAAACCAATTTATGAAACAAATTGAGAAAACAAACCGCCCATATAACTCGCGTAAACGGGACGCGTCGCGGCAAAAATTCTCTTTCGTACTGATTTTGTACAAAAAAAAACAGTGAATGCCACTAAATATTTAAGAGGCTTTGTAAATCTCTGTAAGAAGTGCGTAAATGCTTGCCATTAATTTTATATCTTAATTATCGTGCTATGTGTTCGGTCTTTCTTCGTGCGTATCTCGAATACTCGCAAAGATACATTCAGCGAGCATGCACGTGAAGCATCTGCTGTGAATTAGTAAATAATACATTTGTGCCCTGAGAGCGAGAGAGAAAGAGAGAGAGAGAGAGAGAGAGAGAGAGAGAGAAGAGAGAGAGAAGAAGAGAGAGAGAGAGAAAGAGAGAGAGAGAAAGATTGAGAGAGAGAGAAAGAGAGAGGGAGAGAACGAGAGAGAAAGAATATTATTTTTTTGTGAAGTTTGGCGTGTAAAAACTCCGTGTAAAAGACAAACGTTTCAATTTAATTAACGGCACATCGGAAGAAGTTTCGAAGAACGAGGGAAAGAGAGTGAGTTTTCAATATTTCTCAGACATTATTGCGATTTGCGCCAATGTTTACGTCACAATTTAGGTACGCTTCTGCGCGAATTGAATATTAAATCGAATTAAGCGAATATTAAATCGGGAAAGTCGCTGCGCAAATTTTCTTTGCGAGTCTTGTCAATCTTTTACAAAGTAAGCTCTTATGTGACATGCTTTGGATTACGAATTATTGTAGTTGTGGAAGGTACTCCTTGGATGTTATCGATAAAATTGACAAATAGAATGCAAGCTTCAAGTGGCTATATTACGTATATTTTTGTAAATCTCCGATTTATTATAAAGGAAAAAGGTTTGCTAGAAATATAGGTTCAAATGTAGAAAACATTTCTATCTGAAATAATTCGCATCTCACGTTTCTTAAGTGAATTAAAATCGTAAGATTCAGTGAACGTCTGTGACGTCAATGTCCTTTTATCACGACTCTCACTATAATTGACCAAGTATAATATCTTGCTTTGTAATTTGAAACGATTGTCTCATTCGCATTCGCATTTCCGCTCTCTAATATTATACGACTATTTCTACAACGTGATTTTTTCAAGACCGAATAATGTAAGCGCGGAGTTTGATACGCGTGCTGAGATTATATCGAATTACCATCGAAACACATGCAGTCCGTCGTTAAATGAGTTATGACATAAGATTTAGCTTAGAATTCGAAGAACGAGATAACGAAATATCGTTGATTTACAGATGAGCCATGTAGACGTCATCGATAATCCGATTGTTCACGTTACGTTTCACGATAAATTCTAGGTAACGTAACTTTCTCGTAATCGGAAGACCGATCGAGCTTTAGGGAACGAGGGAATTGTATAGAACGGTGGTATCTTATCATATCTATAACGTGCTTATAAATTAGAGAAAAGCGTACAGCAAGAGAAAGAAGCTTTTTTACTCGTGAGAAAACAAAAGACAAAAAGTAGAATTCTACCCGAAGAGAGATGTATGTAAAGTACTGTGAAAAAAAAAAATTATTGTAAGCTGATTTCTAAGTACATATTTTGCAAATGCACGAACTAATCAAGATCGTGGGATAATGTCGACGTAATACCCAAGTATAAGTCTGTAATAGTTAATTGGTAAATATACAAGACTACTACGTAACTCTTCAGTTTGTAATGTGCCGTTTACAGGCGGCCGTAAGGTCCTTCGCGAAAATTAATTCGACACTCGTCTCTTCGTCAGCTGTTTCTTGTGTGATCCTGTGTTTTCTGACAAATAAAACGATTAACACGAATTTCACGTTACTTTTAGAGTTAAGAAAATCGTAGAATTTGTAATGATAACCAAAAAAAAAAAATTTGTAAAGACTGCACATTGCGCGAGCAGTTGAGCGATCGTATTGTTACATGATTATGCGCACTGCGGTAGAATAGATGACAAAGTGGCACAGTCGTTCTCCGAATCAAGATAAATCACGTGCGCTCACAGGCCGCAAAAAAATTCACGAGTAACGAAAGTAACGTAATTTGTTCGTCGTGAATATATTGTCTATAATAACTTAATACTTGATAATTCCGTACATGCTCGATAACTGCGATCGCATCGATTAGAATGTCGGTCTGTCATAAGAAACAGCGCGAAGAGTACACGTCGATTTCTATTCTTGCCATGCCCATTTGTACATAGGCATGCTCAATTCTAGGATCGGACACGCGCATCATGAATCACATATACATAATATTAAACTACGAAACGAACAAATTATTATCCGACTTTGTACCTATATATTATTAATTAACTCAATGAAAGAGATCGGGGTGAAACCTCGAGAACTATTATCGATTTGAATAGTAGAACCTAACGAAGATTGGAGCGTATAATTGAGGAAAAAAAAAGATGCTCTAACAAAACTCTGCTGTAGCAGAACGAAGAACAAACAAAAAAAAGAACATTATGCGGTTGAAAATGCCTGAGAGCCAAGGGGTACCACTTTTGTCAAATTTAGAGAGCCAATTTAGGTTTACAACTACGATAGGGTGTGCGTGTGTGTGCGTATGTGTCTGCATGCGTGCGTATATGTGCTGGGTGTACAAGAGACGCTGGAGAAAAAGCGAGAAAATGCGTGCGAGCGAGCTAACGAGAAGAAATGGAGGAAGAATCGTAAGAGAGATCACGCCGAGCAAGATATCGAGTTGTAAAATGAATTATCGACTATTCTCGTAGAAAGAAGCCCGACGTATAGCTTAGGCGATCTTGTAATCTTGTATCGTAAGCTCACGAACGACTCGTATTCCGATATACGCGTATTTCATATTTAGACGAACCGAAAAAGCCGTGATTAGATCGCATATCATCGTCTCGCATCGATCGATCGGCCCCGCATCGATCGACCATCGCAAAGCGCGCTGGCACGTGCATTAATTATCGGGCGTCCTAATTAGATTCTCCTCTAGTGCTCTTTTTACATGCACGACTATCAGCTAAAGTAGCCTTTTTCGTCCGATATCTTCTAGAGCGAGTCACGAGTCGATCGTAAGATCGCGAACAGTTTACGATGTTAATACTAAACGAAAAAAAAAAGATCATTCACTTTCCGAAATTGCCCGTCGCTAGAGACATCACCGCGACGGATATCGTACATTTCTGATTTATCAATGACAAACGTCCGAATTTATTTCTTCAAAGTAAGAATGAGAGAGCGGGCGAAAGGAAGAGAGAAATGCAGAACAAAAGGAAGAGAGAAAAAATGAGAGAATGAGCGAATAAATAAATGAATAAATGAATGAGAAAGAATGAGAGTAAATGAGAGTGAAAGTGAGTGAGTGAATAAGAGAAAAAGAGAAAGAAAAAAAGGAGAAAGAGAGGGGGGAGGGAGGGGAGAGAGAGAGAGAGAGAGAGAGAGAGAGAGAGAGAGAGAGAGAGAGAGAGAGAGAGAGAGAGAGAGAGAGAGAGAGAGAGAGAGAGAGAGAGAGAGAGAGAGAGAGAGAGAGAGAGAG